TCTGTTACTGTTCCCGGATTACCCCCCCCCCCCCAGGTCATTAGAACTCTTTAGCCTGTTGCTGCTCTGATGAAAAGTGACCAGTGAACAAATTTGCATTCTGGAGTTAATGATCCACAAAGGCCAGGACATTTGCATTTCTAAAATGTTGTTGGAGATGGTTGTATTTGAGCACAAAGACCTGATTCCCTGGGTGATGCTGGTGTTTGGATCTAGTTGAGATGTCTCAAAGCAGAGTCCCGTAACTCAGGTGTCCTCCTTGACTCCTCGTTTGTAGTTGCTTTCCCTCGCAGGCCTGCCTTTCCCTGGAGTTGGCGTCTGCTTGTGTTGTTTAGGGAGACTCAGTTCATAGGGAAATGGTTGTAACCAGGAAATCCTAGAGGGGACTGATAAAGTCATATCACAGGGATCCACTGAACTGGCGGTCAGGATGTTAAGAGGAAGAGAAACAAAACTCAACCAAGAAGAAAGAACATGCAGAGAGGATGCAGGATCTGAGAATGTGTCTAGTTGAAACTGTTGGGTATGGGTGCAAATAATGGGGGAACAGACCATCATAGTCTGAAACAGTAATAAACTTTATCCCCCCCCAAAAAAAATCACTACGGGGCACAAAAATCTTTCCAGTTAACTGGGACCACAGCCACAGATTGATGGGGCTTCTGAAACTGTCGCAACGGGGGCTGGTTTGGGCCTCTTCTTACAGTAAAATCAAGCACCAGGTGAGGGTCAAAGAGTTTTTACCACCTTGAGGTCAGGCTTAGAGTCACATTACATTTGAAGTGTTACAGCTTTTGGTTATAGGATGTTAGGATGTTAGCTTAGGATGTTTGCGAAAGCCTGTGGCTGACACTGCCACTTTCGCTGTCCCAGAAAGAACGGAGGCAGAGTAGAGTCACATAGGAGGACAGTTAAAATTAAGGGAATACAACATAGAGGGTCTCTTCGAGGCAACAGTTAGAAGCTAACCTTTGTCTGCCATACCCGCCTAGCTGGGAAGCTGGGAGACAACTGTTGAAAGTTTACCTCTGCACACAATGGCTGCCAGGATGTCTGCTCTTAAGGCACAAAGCAGTTGTTAAAAGTTAACATGACTGCCAGTTTTATTATTTTTTTTTTCAAAATGTGTTTGGGCTTACAATTGTATATTTCTATATTCCTGGACCCTTCAGAATGATCTAAATTTACAGCACTTGCCAACCCTCCTCAATCTGGGGCAATAAATTCCCTTGCTACTGGAAGCAGCAAACTAGACTTTTCTAGTCTTCAATGACAGTACTTCTAGAGAGAATGTATGTCAGCTTGCAAATGAACCTTTTTTTCATGCATTTTTGTATCAATTGTCACAGCATCATGAATAGTGTTTAAAAATAAGGCAAAGCAAAGGCAACAGCAGAAGCTGCCATGAATTCTCTTCAACGAGTTTTGAGAAGGCCTGAAGGCCATGGTCAGCCTGGAGGTGGGAGGGAGGGAGGGCATCAAGCAGAAACAGTATAATATCTGGAGTTACAAACATGGTAGGGCTCTAAAGGGGAAAAGGGAGTTTCCTTTTAAAGCTCAGAACAGGGAATCAGTAATAGAAATAAGAGAGCCATCAGGGGTGGTGGAGGGGGTGGGAAGCATCGGGAGGGGGAAGGTGAGGGTAGGTGAGGGCAGCCTCTTCAGAGAGCACCATTCATTTACCTCTGGACCAAATCCCCATGAACAGTCTCAGACTGATTCCCAGAACAAAGGAAAAGTCTGACTTTTTGTAAACTTTCCAAGGTGGCAGGAAGTTACACATGACATGATTTAGTTCACCACAGCGCATGTGACAAAACATAGAGGAGACTGGTACTGAAAATCTGAATGCATTCTTATTTCTGTTCCAAAGAGAGCTGCAAAGAGGCATAGCCTGATCCAGGCTTTGGCATCAGGCCTAAAGGTGCAGGTTTGTGCTTTAACACTAAGAAAACCTCCATTTTACAGAGCTTGGGAACAATGAAAAGTTCCCAGGGCTGTGTGTCTGGGAGAGGATCAGGCTTTTGGTCAGGATCTGTCTCTGAAGCCTGTGATCTTTGGTTGCTGTTCTTGTTTGTTGTTTTAGTCTTTTGAGATAGGATCACCATCCCCCTGCTTCAGTTTTCCCAGTGCTGAGATTGCAGGTGTGTACTGTTATGCCTGGCCATCTTGTTCTTTATAATGGATTTTCATGATTCTTCTGCCACTTAGATCTTTTCCAGGACTAGAAATACACTTTCTATCGAGTGTCTCTTTTGAGCAATTTTCCTTTTTCGTTGGCATATTTCGGTTTTCAGTTGTGTATAGCTATGTTTGTAACCATTTCCTTTTAGACGTGTTTCCTTTCCCAGTTGTGATAGGAAAGAGACTCCCAGTTTGGCTTTAATTTAGCGTTCCTGGAAACGCTCTAGCTGGCTTTGTGATGCTCTCACTTAATAGTCTGTCCAAAGGATATTGTCTTTTTCTTCTGTCTCAGTGGAATGGTTGGGCCTGAGAAAACTCAGAAGAGTAACCCACGTGGTGTGCAATGCTTTTTAACCATCGTCCCATCTGGCCATCTTCACATCTAACCATACATGCCATGTAAACAAATGAAGCTCTTCTCAGCTGGCACAACTGTGCCATCAAGCCATTCTCGAGCCAGAGGGATACTCAAATGCTGTGCTAGCTAGTCTTATGTCAACTCAACACAAGGTAGAGTTAGCTAAAAGGAGGGAACTTCAGTAAAGACAATGCCTCCATAAGACCCAGCTGTGAGATATTTTCTTAATTAGGAACTGATAGGGGAGGGCTCAGCCCATTATGGGTGGTGCCAGCCTCCGGCTGGTGGTTTTGGGTTCTCTAAGAAAGCAGGCTGAGCAAGCTATGGGAAGTAAGTCAGTAAACAGCACCCTGCATGGTATCTGCATCAGCTCCTGCCTCAAGGTTCGTGCCCTGATTTCCTTAATAAACCCTTTCTCCTGCAACTGACTTATTTGTAATACAAATAATAAAAACCCAGAGACAGATACTGGGGTTCAAGCTGAAAGATCAGTGAAATAAAGCAGTTAGCTAGTAGCTTTTACCTCTACCAAGGCTGTAATGGATATTCTGTCTTCCCTGTGACTGGAAACTAAATCTCAGAATACAACCTGAGACCCTAGGCTCTTGTCTTTTATATATCTCTCTAGTGCTGGGATTAAAGACATGAGCTCTGTTTCTCTTTTAGACTGATTCACTCTTTGGTAGCCCAGGGTGGCCAGAATTCCATCTGTCTACTGAGTCCTGGGATTAAAGGTGTGTGCTGCCACTGCCCAGCTTCTATGGCTGTGACTAGCTTTGCATTCTTATCCTTCAGGCAAGCTTTTTAAATAAAAAACAATACATCACCACAAGTTTTGGTGCTTCATTGCAGTAATAGAAACCCTAAGACAAAGAGTCAGTCCAAAAGTTTACAAACACAGGTATAAAGACAGTCTGTGAATGTCTTGAAAAGCTGCTTGAATGATGTAGTAAGGTTGAAACCTTTAATACTGAACACACCCGGCTTTGTGTTCTGACTCTGTCACATAGGATCTTCATGTGCTAACTGAGGACAATAGGGCTTTCTTCTGAGATTGTTGTATTAATCAGGTGAGTCTAGTGCGCTCTTCACAGTTAGATAGCATTCCCGTGTTTACGTAATAATTATCGATTTTTGTTCTTAGTATGTTAAGTACATACTGTTCTTATGCTTTCATTTCTAATGATATTTAATGATGATTAATTTCATTCTAATGATATTTCATTTCTAATGATAGTTAAACTGATGTCATCCAATTGCTGTCTTCGAATAGGTAAGAAATCAGATAAGAGCTGGCCGGGGTGGGGCTGGGAGGTAAGACGGCACCCGTAGTAAAGTCATCCTACCGGTAGACAGGGTGGAACTGTTGAAGGTTTCTGAAGACCACAGAGTGTAAGGTGGTTTTATCATGTCATTTCCTTGAGCATTACAACTTGCTTCCTGAAAGGGCATTTGGGAAAGAGGCCCCAGAAGTGGGCCCCAAGATTGATCCCAGAACGTCTCATGATCTGAGGACAGGAGGCAAGAAAAACAAGAACAGCGTGCACTCATGATACACTCATATTCTCTTTATTTTCCAGTAACCTTGAGTACAATTTATTCCTCACCAGTGACAATTTTGTCCACCTTATTCAGGGGAACATTTACCAAATTCTTGGAACATTTTCACTGCTGAGAAATATCACTGTTGCCTTATGGGTAGCAGCAGGATGTGTTTCTGAGCATCCCACTGTGCACAGGGCAAGCCCCCAGGACAGTTATGAGACCGCTGTTCTGATGGTGCACCCCTGCAATCCTAGGACTCTGGAGGCTGAGGTAGCAGGAGCTCAAGCTTGAGGCTACGCTGGGCTGCATAGACAGTTCCAAGCCATCCTGGAGTCCATCACAATGCACTTCTTCATTGTTTTGTTTGAGTGCGTAGAAATGATGATCTTCACTTTACAGTCCAAGAGTCAGGAGCTCCCAGAAGCTCCCTGATACTCAAACTGGTCTTGCAGCTTGGAAACCAATGATCTTTCACAAAGCCATAGTGGTGAGAACGGGTTCTGGGGAAAACGATCAGGATTAAGAACCACAAAACTGATGCTTGGTAGGTACTTACTGAGATCTTCATTGAGTGAACAGAGGAGTAGAGGGAGATGTGGAGGATGAAGGCTTAGTTTCTGGAGATGTGCCAGGAGATTCTTGTCGACTATCCTTCGTCACCTTTCTTGAGTAACACAAAGCCCGAGGCAAATGATCTGTGGGCTGAGTCTAGGTGACCATCTCCCTGTGTGAGGCCCTGTCAGCTACAGCTCCAGTACAAGAGGGAGCTGATTCTCGGTTTCTCAAATATTTTACCACTTGAGATGAATCGCATTGACTCTGGTCAGTCCTGAGTCTTCTAATAGGGAACAGATGAAAGGAAAGAGGGTGGAAGGGGAGGAGCCAGTGATTAAACAGACCGTCTCTTCTCACTTCCGCTTTTGGACTCCAGAATTTGTTCTCTGGGTACAGTCTGCCAACGCTGGAGAGAAGCCTGTGCCTGCAGCTGACTGGCTCCAGGGACGATGCGGATCCCACCATTCCTACCTCTCCCCATGGAGAGCAACTGGGCTGCCTATTCGCTTTCACAGACTTTGTGCCATATGCTACTGTGGACAGCTGTGCTGAGTAAGTCAGACCCTCCAGAAGGGAAACAGGGGCAAGGACACCTGGCTTGGGTTGGACTTGTGCAGGGATGGATGTAGCCCAGGATGCCAGCAAAAATTAGGCAGTAGGCTAATAACTAGGCTACAACAACCTGGCTGGCCTTGGAAAAATCAAAGCTGGCAGGAGTTTTTGTCATTGCTTGTTTTCCTGTCATTGGATACCCAGGTCCCTGATGCACTATCACCTCCCCATCAGAACCTTCTCTGAGGGAAATCGAGTGTCCTAGACTTGAGTGATAAATAAGGAGACCCCAGTTTCCCTTTGAATTTGTGACTCACACAGGATCAAATCTTGGGCAAGATGTCTAGTGCTGCTTTAGACAAGGGTTGGGAGGGAACTCTAAGACGCATGTGAGGGGGTGGCAGTGGATACTCTCTGTGCCCATGAAGCCACTCTACCCAGCAGAAAAGATCACCCCCTTAATATATAAGGAGAGGCAAAGGAAGGTCTGGGTTATCCTGGGCATTTGGGTTCAGAGTATCACGAACCTGGGCAAGTCTAGAGTTGTCAGTTGTGAGGCCAGAGAAATCTCTCCTGCATCCTTCACTGCATAGACCACAGGATGTGGTCTTGGCTCGCATAGTGAGAAAGTCAGGGTTGGGGTCTTAGGCTAAGGTGGAGGAAGATTTTTTCTGGTCCTGGTCTCAACTGTGGGCCAGAGGACAGAAACTGACGGTGCTGCAGGGTGATTAGAAGAGTCTGGATGAAGTCCGATAAGGGAGTCCTATTACAGGATCATCTTCTAAGTTCAGTTCTGGGGCTTTTACCCATAACCCCGAGAGGAACACATAAAGCCATCCCACCCCCTTGTCCCAGGTTACATGCTATGACTCATAATGAAATCTGGTCAGTCCTGGGGGACCACAGCTGTCAGTGCTGGGTGGGAGGTGGCTACCAGGGAGAGCAGTATGAAAGAGAAACTATTTCCCCACAAGTAGGTATATTAAAGTGACACCAGATAGCTTGGGTTCTACATGGAATGCTCAGCTCAATCCCAGAGAGACAAATGCTGTAGAACACATCAATCACCTGTTGAAGACTTCCAAGAATGGCAGCACTCTCTTCCATTTTCTTTTGCTAAATCCTTATTTTTCTCCATTGTTTTCTGGGCCTCCACACTTAGGATTTCATCACTTGATTCAATATTATAACGCCTGTGACTGTGTCTTGGTTGCTCCTGACTTTGGTCTGGCGTAGCTATGGAATCTTCCAGGACAGCTATGGGAAGGCATAGCGCTTTCTACATGTCTTCATTGCTGGCCCGTTGTCTCTTGGTAAAGCCCCAGTACTGTCCTGCTCAGCACACTCCCATTTCACCTACAATGGATTTCCTCAGCCAGGCAGTGTAGACACTATACTTGGCTCTTCCTACCTGTGCTTCAGTTTACTCTTTGAGTTCTTTGTGCCAGACACTGTTCTAAATTTGGAAGTACAAGGAGTTTGTCTTCCTTCTAATGAATACATTGGACAAGAACATAGTTTTCTTATCTGTTGGATAAAGAATGAATGTATAGGGCTGGAGAGATGGCTCAGCCATTAAAGGCTAGGCTCACAACCAAAAATGTAAGAATGAATATATAAATGATGGCTTCTCCCTTCTACATCCCTGTTGGGTTTTTTTTTTCTTCTCCTTTTCATGCCCTGAGACAACCCCCTTGCTAATCCCACATACTCAGGATACTCAAGGTTTTCAGCTATTACTTCTATGTCACTAGCTCCCAAACTTATTTGTCCTCTGTATACTTTTACTTCCCTACATGTTGATTAGACATCCATAAATAAATTTGTCAGCTTAGAACAAAATTATATTAAAAATTCAACATAGCATCATTTCCTAATATCTTTCTAGTTTTTCTATTTGCATGAGCAAAACCACTTTGCCTCTGGTCATCCATGTTTACCAACTTCATGCTTCATTAAATGCCAATTTTTCTCAGCCTTGCCTCTTAAGTATCTCTCACACGTGTGACTTCTTTACTTCCTATTGTCAATGCAGATGAGCAAGCAAAGTCGTGGGGGAATATTGATGCACTTGATAAAGTAAAAAAGGGTAAATATCCACTCACACATGGTATTTGGGAAATAGAGGCAGGAAGGACTGGAGTTCAAGGCCAACATGGGCTACCTCACAAGTTTGAAGACAGCCTGGACTACATGAGACCTTGTCTCAACAACAGCAACAAAAAGATAAAGGGATTTGCCATGAGGTGATAATGATGAATCATGGATTCTAAACTAGGTGTGTGTGTGTGTGTGTGTGTGTGTGTGTGTGTGTGTGTTCAAAGGTGGACAGTGGTGAGATAAAAGTTGTGATTAGGTGACTATGGAGGCTGTACTTAGGCAAATGGAAGAAAAAAAGGAGGAGGATTGTTGTGACTGAAACCCGGAACATTTGATTTTGTGGTTTTGAAGGTGGTGTGATTTGGAGAGATGATCAATCACAAGGCCTTGAGGTCTAACATGGGCCTGTGTGGCCAATCCATATGAGAGAAGGTTCACTACAGATGAGAAAGTCAAGGGATGAAGAAGCCAGATACTGCATAGCCATTACCATGTATTCTAGATCACCATCTTTTTCTTGCTAATCTCTTGTACTTCCTCTGTCCCAATTAGTCTGACACAGCATTTTCAGCCCCGATATGAACTTCTCATTGTTTACTGAACTAAACAGCAGACTTTGAGAATTTGCTCACGATCATTTAAAAGTTACTCACATGGTGCCCTTGGTACCACACAGATGCCATATCTGGATTATCCTTACTTCTTACAACAGTTTATGGCATGGGTATTGCTGTCATCATTTCCATTTATAAACAAGGGGATCAAAGTAGAAAAAAGTAGAGTTACCTCTGCAAGGTCATTGTACATCAGCTGTATTTAATTACTTTTCTCACTACTTTGATAAAACACCAGGCAAAAGCAACTCAAGGAAGGCTTTATTTCAACATATAATTAGAGAGCATTGTGGTGGGAAGACATGATGACAGAGCCTGGACCAGTCACCTCACACCCACAGTCAGAAAGCAGTGAGAGATGAGTACTAGGACACAGCTTGCTTCTTCCTCTTGTTTATTCAGGCTTGTCCCCCAGCCTATTGGATGGTCACACCCATATTCAGGGTGGGTCTTATCACTTATGTTAAACCTTTCCAGAAATACCCTTTTTGACACAAAGAATGATATTTCCATGGTGATTCTAACTCTAGTCAAGCTGATAGTGAAGACAATAGTGAATTCTGTGTGTTCAGATTGACTACCATTTTATTTGGCAGTGACAGGTCCTACAGAGTATGGCAGCTGCCTCTATTTTCAGTTTTGTTCCTCATTGTTGAGGGTGTCTTAAACAGACCAAAGCAGCAATCAGGCTGCAACTTGATGAGCATGTTGCCAAATATCCATCCATCCTTTTTATGGAATATGCCTTTTCTGTCTGTCACAATTATAGAATACTTGAAGCTGCATGGCAAACACCACTTTCTCACTCTCCCTCCCAGACCAAATCCAGCCAGATACAAAGCCCTAGAATCTCTTCCTCCTCTAACTTCCATAACATTTGCTCATAGTCTTATAAAGGCATCGAGAACATCTCTTTTATAAGATGTGCTGGCATAGCATTAGGGATGCAGAACTGGATAATCACTGTGAGTCCAAGGCTAGTCAGGGTTACATAATGAGACTGTCAAAACCAAAAGGTCTTTTAAAGATTGTGTTGCACATATGTTTATCTTATTATCAGACTGTAGGCTCCTGTGGGGACCAGGGACTTATCCAATTTTCTTTAGGTACACTCAGGATGAACATCAGGGAAGGAAGTAGTCAGTGTACTTTCTGGAATTGAAAAGGGGTGAAGTGATTGGTTTAGGTGCACATACTGAGATGTGGTGGCATGGGGAACAGCCTCCAGTTTCCTAGACCACCAGAGCAACATCCCCCACCCCACCCCTAAGCATTTGCTCCTCTATACTCAATTTCACACCTTCATCTCTGAAAGTATTCAGACTTGGAAGCTTCTTGACTTTTTTCAGCTCACGTGCAAGTGAAAACTCCCACCAAGGACAGGTACATAAATTCATTCACACGGCATATACATTGGACTCTAGTTTATCTCAGGACCCACTTTGTGATATTATGCCCAACAGTGGTAACATATATCTCCATCCTTCCATTCAGCATTCCTGCTCCATGCTTGGTTTTTGCTTGGGAAGCCATTTCTGTCTCCATGAGTCATTCTATCTGCTCCCATGGGGAGCCACAGATCTAGTGTTCTTTTCTTTTAATTTAATTTTTGTGAATGAGTGTTTTGCTGCATTTATGTCTGTGTACCACTCATGTATCTGGTGCTCAGAGAGAATAGTGTGTCAGATCCCCTGGAACTGGAGTTAGAGATGGCTGTAAATCACCATGTGGGTGCTGGGAATCAAACACAGGCCTCCAGGAAAGCAGCAAGTGCTCTTAACTGCTGGGCCATCTCTCTAGCCCCATGATGCCCTTCTGTAGGTTTCTTCCTCCTAGCAAATTTGCCTACAGCAAAAACTGAAATACCTAAATGTTAGCAATAGAGATGTGAAATAAAACATACAAGTGTTAAAAATGACAACATTGAACAGACTAAGCTGTTAGATCTTTTATATTGTTTAGTGAAAAATCAGGCTGGAAAACACTTTTCCAGTATGGCCTCATTTGCTCTTTGTCTATATGCAAACATTTTACAACACACACACACACACACACACACACACACACACACACACTCATGGGGGAAATTCTAAGGACACATATGCTAAGGTGATAATAGTTTGCCATGAGTATTTTCTACTTTTCAATAATGATTATGGATCTGTAGTCCCTCCCCACAAAAGAAAAACCCTGCTCTCAGGATGGACATTGGCAAAGTCTGAAACACGAATCACATGTAAACTTCATCAGGGACTTTAATCGTCACAGTGTTAGTCTAATGAAAGTGTCACAACACAGATGTTACTGGGGACAGAGCTTCTGAAAGTGTACTTCATTTAGGCAGTCCCACAGGAGGGCCTTACCATGAAGGTTGGGTTCTGGGAATGAAGGGGGCTCTGGGTCTGGGCAGGCATGTCTTAGTGTGGAAGTCCACGCCCTGGTTGATGTTTGCTTCCTTTCTTGCAGATCTTGTTGCTGGGACACAGGGTAAGTTCTCTTTTCATACCTTCTCGCCCTTCTATGCATCACCATCCTCTTCTCCCAGTGATCTGCCTGTACTCAGAATGTACCAGTACCAAGCTCAGTACTGGATCAGGACCAGGAAAGGGACATTGTTCTCAGAAGACGTCCTGCCCTTCCTTAAGAAAAAAGAAAGAGAGCCTCCAAACCCTCTCTTTCTAAATAAGATTCAAACATATAGAAAATTACACTATCTGCCTAGACTGTCCCATGTGTTGATAAGTCTTCTACTTTGCATTGGTGTTAGGGCTTGTCTTCATTAGGGTTTCTACTGCTGCAACAAAACACCATAAACAAAGACCAAGTGGGGAGGAAAGGGTTTAGTTGGCTTATTCTTCCATATTGCTGTTCATTATCAAAGGAAGACAGGACAGGGATCAAACAGGCAGGAACCTGGAGGCAGGAGCTGATGCAGAAGCCATGGAGGGACGCTGCTTACTGGCTTGCTTCCTTTGGCTTGCTCAGCCTGCTTATAAAACCCCAGAACTACCAGCCCAGGGATAGCACCACCCACAATAGGCTGGGCCCTACCCCAGTAATCACTAACTAAGGAAAGGCCTTACAGCAAGATCTTATAGCGGCATTTTCTCAATTGAGCCTCTCTTCTTTCAGATAACTCTAGTTTGTGGGTTAAGTTGACCTGTAACTAGCCAGCACAGGGCTCCAAGGCCTGTTCTATTGACAGAGCCATCTACATGAGGGGAAGAAAGTAACAGAAGGGAGAAACTTAAATATATCTTGGTGAAAGATACGTATTTCTGGGGTGTCTCATTTGCCCCTGAATAATAATTAAAAAAAAAAAAGGAATAAAAAAGAAAGGACATGACTGCTTCTAGGTATGGTAGAAGAGAAAGTTTATTGTAGATATGTGGGAGAGTGTAGTCAGAGGCAGGGATATCTGGAAGAGTCCAGAGTGGACATGACCAGGCTGAGCTGTGCTGATGCCGTGGAGTGGGGAGACCGGACACGACACCAGGGGCAGCAGTCAGGAGGCAAATGTACAAAAGGGGCAGGTAACCGAAATGTCTGGATTATAGAGGGAAAAGCCTCTGGAGGAAAGGGAAGCCCAGCCCAGGAGCTAGAGAGTTCAGGGTTGAGGGCCATATCCTATATCAGGTAGGGACTGAGGGATGCTGGGAGAACCTGGCCACCAGGTCTGTGGTGACACATTGAATAGGCCCCTCAGCTGTTTGTGGGGTTGGAGACTTGACAATCACTCCAGCCTTCTCTCTTGCTCTACCCTGCTGAGGGTCAGTTAAGTCCTTTGTGAGTCCCCTGGGACTTGTGGGTACAATGAGTAAAAGTATTTAGTGGAAGAAGTTTTCTGGGCCAGGTCCTATCATTGGTGCCTTTTTTAAAATCTGAGGCTCAGGGCCTGCTTAGGCTCTTGGGGTTCCCTTGCCTCACGCTGCCTTCTCTCTCTGAAATTGAGTAGATCTCCCGAAGGCTGTGGTGAAACTTGAGCCCCCATGGATCCAGGTGCTGAAGGAAGACAGTGTGACACTGAAGTGTGAAGGGACCCACAACCCGGGGAACTATTCCACCCAGTGGCTCCACAATGGGAAATCCATCTGGAGCCAGGTCCAGCCCAGCTACACGTTTAAAGCCTCAAACAATGACAGCGGAGAATACCAGTGCCAGATGGGGCAGACCGGCCTCAGCGACCCTGTACAACTGGGAGTGATTTCCGGTTAGTAGACACAGGCCCAGGAAGGAGTTGGGATACCAGGAAGTTGGGGGGTAGGGTGGGGTGCATCTGCTTTCTGCAAGGTTTGCAGGAAAAGGGGTCGCCTAGTTTCTGGGAAGCATCACTCTGTGTAGCTTGAAGGGCTTCTGTCCACTCACTTCCCCTTTCACCAGGCCTTGTGCTTAGCGTGCATGTGGAAGGCACTCGAATTCCTGAGGAATTCCTCAACTTGTGTGAAGAGTTGTTTTCTGTGGTAGCCTTGATTGAGCAAGAGAAGGTCAAGGACAAAGGACAAACAGCTGAATGTGACAGAAAAAGGAAGTCCCTGTTTCATAGAAACCCTTCTGTTACATGACACTCAGAAGAATGCCAATAGGCCACAACTGAATCCAAGTGGTGGGAAGGACTGTCTATGTAAATATGGTTAATTAATTAATTTAACCTTGAGTCCAGCTTTCTCATCTGCTCAACTGAGGGTGCTAATATCTCTTTCCGGAAGTCCTGGGGAGCATGGGCATTTTCCTGATCTCTTGCCTTTACAGTACTGGGTATCCTTGCCTTTCTTTTACTTCCACCAACTTGTGGGCACTTGAGGTGAAAAGCTGTGTCTCATTCCTTTCCATATTTGCAGTATCCAGAACAGGACAGGGCTTATTAATTCTTTGCTGAGAAGATCAACAGCTTTACCAGGCTCCTGACAAAATGTAGATCTTCTCCACAGAAAAGCCAACACGAGACAGCATTGACGACTACTGTTGCTGTTGCTCTTAATGCCTTCCTATCACCAGTTTTCCCTCAAAAGTATGTACACAGCAAGCTAATGATTTGCCTCTGCCTCTGCTGGACTGTAGTTCCACACCTGTTAATATTCATCTAGGAAACCAACATTTTTGGAAGTTCAAAAAGTTCTGTTGCCCCACAAACAGAAGGGTCTGTTGTGCCCTCTTCACATCCACCAGGCTGGATTCCTTCCTCTTTCCTGCTGGGAAGGGCTTGGATCTCCATGTCTTGTTACTTCCCGACAGAACTGGGCAGCAGCTGCCTTCTTTCAAAGAGGAAGGGAGAACATTATGCACCAAGAACTATTGTAGCTACAAGGTCTGATCATGCCCATTTCACAGATGAGGAAATTGAGGCCCAGAAGAGTTCAATTACTTGCCAGAGGCTGAAGAGCTTGTAAACGAGTGGAGCTAGAATCAGACCAAGGCTATCTGATGTCAGACTAAAGCTCTCTCCTCTTAGCATATCACATCGCATCAGGAAGTGTGGCCTGGGTCTCAGAGCTGAGCCAAGGTCCTCTGAGTCCTATAGTCTTTTTGTGTCTTTCAGACTGGTTGCTGCTCCAGACCCCTCAACTGGTGTTTGAAGAAGGGGAAACCATCATGTTGCGGTGCCATAGTTGGAGGAACAAACTCATGACCAAAGTCACATTCTACAAGAATGGAAAATCTGTAAGATATCATCATTCCTTTGGCAACTTCTCCATCTCCAAGGCAAATCACAGCCACAGTGGTGATTATTACTGCACAGCACGTCTAGGAAAGTCACAATACTCATCAAAGCCTGTGACCATCACTGTTCAAGGTATGGGGACTCTGTTGGAAGGGAGTAGAGGAGATGGACAAAGGCTGAAGTTATATAGTCCCACATGGAGATCTAGGAATGCCACAGCAGCAAAGCTGGGCGTGGAGGCAAAGAGGAGAGCTGTAAAGGCCTTGCCAAGTGATGGCAAGTGGGGCTCAGCCCAGAGCTCCCCACTTGCAGGTGTTAGATGACAAGGCTATTGGGCATCAGTGAAACAGAGCCTTGCCATTGGTACACAGGTTCTCTACGTTCCTAGGCATTGATAAGTGCCGAAAGGTAACTTCTCCTTGTATCTCATATTATAGTCATTCACTCTTGAAGGCCTGGCATGTTCTAGACAGTGGGGGGTACCAACAGCTCTGGGAGGCTTCAGATCCATTCTCCCTATGGTCTTTGAGGGCTGTTCCTTCTGCTACAACATCTTCACCAATGTATCTTCAATAGTGGAAACACTTGGTTATTGGGGAGGCACAAGTCTGTTTACAGAAACCTATGCAGATGAGGTTTCAGGGTGATGATGTATTACACCTATGAGTGACCCAGACAGCAATTGTAGGTGACAAACACTGGGCATAGCATTAGAGGAAGGGTGGATACACAGAGTGAACTTATTACCTGTTGTCATATCTGTCTTTCCAGAGCCCAGATCCAACAGGTCTTTACCGGTATTGACAATTGTGGCTGCTGTCACTGGAATTGCTGTAGCTGCCATTGTTATTATCCTAGTATGTTTGATCTATCTCAAGCGAAAACAGGCTCCAGGTGGGTGGCTCTCTTTGGACCCTCTTATTAGTTCCTACTTAGCTGGGGCTAGGTGTTAGAGACTTATTGGCATTTGATATAGCATCCTCATAGTCATTCATCTACTTACAAATTCATCTGTTAAAGAAGACTTAAACAAACTCGGTGACATGCTGGACTCTATAGGTGTTTGGTTCTGTTTCTGCCCTCAGCTAGTTCTCAGCATTGTGAGGAACACAGGGGTACAAGTGGATACTTACAAGAAGGATTTAGAGCAATGGAATGATAAAAATATGATTATGAACTGGAGGTGGTACATTCCTGTAATCCCAGGACAGTAAAACAGAAGGAATAAAAGTCTGAAGCCAGAGCCAGTGAGATGACTTTGTCAGTACAGGTGCTTGCAGTATAAGCCCTGTGATCTTAGTTCAGTCTCTGGTATCCAAGTTAAGGTGGGAAGAGAGGATGGATCCCTCAAAGGTGTCCTCTGACCTTCATAGGTATGCTATCATGTACACCCCATATACAATAATCAATAAAGATTTTTTTCAAAGGGTTTGAAGCCAGCCTGAGCTGAAGAATGAGTTTGAAGTCAGTCTGTGCTCCACACAGCAATACCCTGTCTAAAATTTTAAAAAGGGAAGATTCCATAACCCTGTGTGCTTATCAGCTTTCTGTCACTATAACAAAGTACTTCAGATAATCAATCCACTTACAAAGAGAAAATAGTTGCTAGGCACAGTGGTAAATACATGTCAGCATTCAGGAGGCCAAGGAGGACCACAAGTTCACGATCCCATCTTAAAATATATTAAGTAGATAAGGAAACAAACAAAGAGGTTTATTTTAGCACAGTTTTGTAGGACTTAGTCCAAACTTTCTTGGTCATATTGCTTTGGGCCTATGACAAGCTAGAATATCACAGAGGAAGTACACAATGGGACAAAACTGCTCACCTTATGGCAACTTAGCAAAGAGATCAAGGAAGAGGTTGGGTAATCCCACAATCTTCAAGAGCATGTCCCTGGTGACCTAAACACTTCTCACTTTAAAGTTTTGGCTTCCTCCCAGATGTTCCACCTGGTGACCAAGTATTTAACACATGATGTTTTAATGAACATCTCAGATCCAAACTGTGGCTGTGGCAGGCAGCCTGGCTGGAGCAGTTGAGAAGGTTTCACCAGGGAGCCTGGGCGGTGTGGTAAATACACACAGTGGGGCCAGATTGCTGTGGTTCAAATCCCCACTCGCAGCCCAGCAAATATATACAACTGAGTAAATTATTCAACCTCTGTGCCTCAGTTTACCAGTCTGAAAAACGAAGAACACTGTGGGGTCCACCTTACAGGGGTGTTACGGCATCAGGTGAGGCTGAAGCCTTTGTACCACTGCCTAACAGATAGTGAAGAGCACTTGAGTGTAAGTTATTAACCACTATGGAGAAGGGGGATGTCTGGGGGGTAGCCATTGGCTAGGCAAAGTGGAAGAGCAATCTAGGAACTGTGGCCAAGGCATGAAAAAGAGGAGTGTTGTGGGTACGTCAACGGAAGCTACTGAGAAAGAGAAAATGCTGCTACTGACTAATACCTAATACCCCACAGCACCCTTTACAGCTGGTTCATAGGAATTCAGTTACAGGGTGATAAGTAAATATTGGGAGATGCAGCAAAAAAGATTACATGCTTTTGTTTGTGAGACGGGATCTCATTTTTAGTTCTAGCTGCTCTGGAACCCACTATGTAGACCAGGCTGACCTCCAACTCACAGAGATCTGCTTGTCTGTGTCTCCTGAGTGCTGGGATTAAAGGTGTGCTACATTATACCCAACCAAAAAAAAAAAAAAAAAATGACACTTCTCTAGGGCCAGGCAAGCCTAAGAAAGATGCAGTGAAGTGGTTTTTGTGACATCTGTTGGAGTCCTCTTGGGTTAGTCACTGTGGGCAGGGGCGTTGGGAAGCTGAGAAGACAGGTGTGACAGCGAGAAGGAAGGGTCTCTGTGCTTTTAATTCAGTTCTGACCCTGGTCCTTGATCCTGAGGTCTCAGGACTCATCCCATAATCCTACTAATATCCTACATGCCCCTCCTAGCTCTCCCAGGAAACCCTGATCACAGGGAAAAGGGAGATACCCTTCCCAAGGAACTAGGTGAGTACAGCGTGCCCTCTGGGGACTCAGTGCCGGTCAGCCCAGGGCCTCCATGTGGACTGGAGCCAGCAAGCAGCAGCTCTTGTGAGTTCAGTGTGGGTGCAGGAGAGGGAGGAGCAGTGGGAGGGTGGCTGGGACTCAAATCTCTTGGTCAGTTCTGAGTCTAGCTCTTAGACCTAAGGAGGATCTCACCGGAGATGAGAAAGGGAACACTGGTCTCAGAGAGAGAGAGAGAGAGAGAGAGAGAGAGAGAGAGAGAGAGAGAGAGAGAGGGTGGACTGTGGTTAAACTTCTAGATGGACGAGGAATCTGGAGACATTTCCAGAGCAAGACTTCAGAGGCTTTTGGATCTTTCTAGGGAGATGTGGCAGATCTGGCAAAGGACAGGCTTAACAGTTGTATGATGGAGGCCAATAAGATTAAGAAGGGAGGCCCCAAAGAGGGCAGGAGAAGGTCTGGGGTGATCCTGCAGATTTTCTTTTAGAAGTGTATCCCTGTGGAGGAGTACAGGAAGGCATGGCACAGCTCAACTTTTAGTAGCATATTGAGAGGAGATTGGAGTTGAGCGAATTCTGGGGCTCTGTGGGCACACTTTGGCTCTAATGCCCACTCATATTGGTTTATCCAGCACTGGCCCTTCCACCTCACACAACCAAATCTGTGGTAGATCACTCCCCACGAAGTCACTCTGTTGAAGAAGTGGGTGAGTGGGCGAGTGGTTTAGATGACCTCCGAACCCTTCTGGGTCTGAGAAGCGAAAGCTGGTGCAGGAAGAAGGAGTGGGAGCATGTCTGGTAACTGTTTGATTAAAGTTAAAGATTGAGAGAACATAAGGCAAGTGCAGTTTTCTCTAGGGGCTTCCATGACAGCAGAAATAGGCAGGAAAAAGACTTCCTTAGAGATTCCACTTCAGGGGGCTGGAGTATGACTCAGAGCAGAGCCAACGGATATGAGAGCTTGAGCAAAATAGCATTCACTTAGCTTCGCTTTGAGCAAGGTCCGTGTTCTTCAGCCTGGCTATGTGGATCTACATTTAGGATCAAACTAGGTTAAAAAAAGTGTCTAAGCAGGACTGGGTTTACCTCGTCTGGCTTTGTCTACTCTGGTATAAACACATTTCACACTGCAATTATGCAGCCTGGTAACTAGTACCAGAGCTTGTGGTTTCTGCTAAAGGCATCATTAGCTGCTGCAGTTGCTAAGAAGTGTTTTAAAAGGGGGAATTCTGAATGCGTTGTGGGGTCAGAATTTGGAACATGGCAAACAGGGCTCTTTGTGTCTAGGGACTGAGCGGAGAGACTGGAGGCATTGTCTTGGCCTCTTTCCCCAGTTCCCAAAATGCTGGTTTACAGATACTGGGGCTGCTTGTCATACTGGCAAAGGGAACTTAGGGCAAAACCATAAGAGAATTTTGTGTTTGGGATATTTATCAAAGAAATATTGTCTTCTTCTCTCTCTTCTCCATCTTCTCTCTCTCCTTCCCTCCCTTTCTCTCTTTCTCCCCTTCCTTTCTTCTCCTCTATCTTTTTCTTTCTTTTTAATGTTAGAATACCTGATTCTTCAATGCTTCAACAAGAATAAACTGCACTTGTCCAATATAGAAAGGGCCATTTGTTTCTCTCCCTACAGTCTGTGGCAGGCAAAAAATCTGGACTTGATTTCACTCTGTTCTAAACATTTCCCCATTCTCCAACCTCCCAGAGTCCCAAAGCTGGTTGTTGTGTTGCTGGGAAAGGTCAAAGACCGTCTGAAAAGAAGGTGGCACAAATTTGTTTCCCTTTGCCAGCATGGCCAGTGGGGAAGGCTGGATTCCAAGATAGTCATGGAAATAGGCTGTACTGCTGCACTGCATGGCCTGAAGGCCTGGGTTGGGGTTGGCAAGTCTTGTCTTGGCTCTGCTTTGAGCTTTGGTTTTGCAGCCTCAATAACAGTGCATCAGGCCCTCTTTTCCAGCAATGCCCAAGTTAATCACTTGTTTTTGTCCACAGACAACCCTTCTGATCTTGAAGAAGCTGTCAAAACTGAGGTGAGAGCCCAGCTGGGTCCTTTCCCCTCTCCTGGCTCCTCTGCTTTCCCCATGACCTCTGTGCAGCTCTCAGGACTTATTTCTGCTTTCTCTAGGTTGAAAATACAATCACCTATTCACTTCTCAAGCATCCTGAAGCTCCGGATGAAGATGCAGAGCCTGATTACCAGAACCACATTTAATCTCTCTTGTCTTGACTTGGGATTGGGAAAAGCAAACAGGAAGGCCAGGATCCCCTGGTCAAGGGGATGCTGTAGATATTAAGGAGGCCATGCACAGTCACCTATGTGAGTCCTGAAACCAACAGACACTACAGTACTGGTCCCCAGTGGTTGACTGTACTAATAACTTCTGTGACTTACCACTTCCCAACTCAAGACTCTTCTGCTATAGATTCACACAGCCAATAAAATTAATTAACTTACTGTCATTAACAGATTGCAGCAACATGCGAACAGCTTATGTTACAGGCTACATGTTAGGATACATGATAAAATGAACTTGTATGAACATGTCAAAAGTCATGCTTTAGAGTGATGGAATTATAAGGGATTTTAATCTTCTTCCTTGTTTTTCTATAAAGGTCACGTTACTTTTATTGTAAAATGTTGTAAAAAATAGCATTCTATCTACCTTTTCAAGGCTGGGGTTATTAGAATGTAGACTGAGCTCTCTGGGTTTGTTGGTCTTCTGTGAGAAGAATCTTGGGAAAATGGGTTAGCTTTTCCTGGGGAGACATAAGCATAATAATCAGTGAGTTTATTTGGCTTATTTATGGGAACATGGGTGAGGGGTTCCTTATGGAGGTATGGATGGTTCCTTGCAGGGCTATGGGTTTCTTTAAAACAGCAGTCTTAGCACAGATGACAACTTCTTTACAGTTGCATAGATGGTGTCCCCACCCCCTTCAGCGAATTGATCTTCCTCAAACTGTCAATCCTCTTGCCACTATCCACCACATCTGGCATGGCAGTAATAGATCGGAGGGAGGGAAAGGGTGGGTGGTGATTTTGGAGTAGAGGGCCAGAGCTTCTCTGCTTCAGGCTCTTCCAGGGAATGTGTCTTCTTGTCCCTGCACCTTCTTCTGCTCTTTTCTCCTATGACAAGCAGAAATAATCTCTCTGTTTTGTAACTTGAGTTCTCAGGGAGTCAAACATCAGGTGAATGCCCTTGGGAACTGGAGGATGACCTTGAACTCCTGATCTTCCTGCTTACACCTCCTAACTGCTGGGATTATAGGCATGTGTCACAGAGCTGGCTTGTATGTATTTTCAAAATCGGATCACGTTATATATTTTTATATGTTCACAAAAGCATTCAAGTAGAAATCCAAGCATGCTGTAACCACATAAGTTCAGAGTACAGAGGTGTAAAGAAGAAAAAGCAGTTCTCTGTAGTCCTCATTTCCCTCAATTTTGTTCTTGTTCTCCTTCTCTCAATCATGAATAACCACTCTTGTAGGTTTTGTGTACATTTGAATTTTTTGAATGGATATTTAATATATTATAGTTTTTAGAAAGACTATGCATGGGACCATACTTTACACATGATTATATTGTTGACTTATTTTGTTCAAAAAGACGATGGCTGCTGCTTGCTGGATGTCTGTGTGGCTCCAGATTCACTGAGAAACCCTGTCTCAAAGCAGAGAGAGAAAGAGCAGAACACCCCATGCTTTCCTTTGACATCTTCACACCCGCACACAGGCACATCTCCCATGTGTGTGCATCTAACGGACACATAAGAAGTAGATAATAACCCTCTCTCCAGAATTTCTGCTTCGAAATTCCTGATGACCAACACATGCTGCATGGATCTTAGTAGTTCAGTCCAAATACATGAATAATTGAGGGAGAATGCATCTACAAGCGCTTGTATTCCTAATGTGTACCTTTAAGTAAAAGCCTTACATGCTCCTTGAATCTAGTGAGTTCTTTCTCATATCCTCTTTAGCGAGGCCTCTCCTAACTACCGACACTACTTTGTTCTTATTTTCTCAGTGGTGCAGTGTAGGTAATTATGTATCTTCTTGTTTATACATTTTCATGTAAACTAAAATGTAAGCTCAATACAGGCCTGTTTTCATTATTCACCAGTGCACTCCAGAGACCAGAATAATGCAATAGATTGTTGAATGAATTAATAAATAAAACTCTCCTCTCATAGTTTCTAGGTTATTTGGTATTCTTTCATGCTGGTTAATTGCTCTACTGCTGAGTTATACCCCAGGTGTTATGTGATGTTCTTAATACTATGGCTTAGATTTGTTCCCCTGAAATTATGTATTGGAAACATGGTCACCAATGCAACAGAGTTGGGAGGATGTATCTGAAGGGAGGTGACTAGCCCACCATGGGCTAGTTCTGTGGGAGTGGATTCCTTATAAAAGGGCGAATTTGGTGCCTTTTTGGCTTTGTCTTTCTTCCCTTCCTCCCCCACTTCCTCCCTTCTTGGTCCATAGAATGATAGATACATCAAGAATTCTGGTTCCCCAGTCTTGAACTTCTCAGCCTCCAGAACCTCCTGCTAATAAAGAATTATCCACGTCTGTGGGATTTTGTCATAGCAACTCAAAGAAGTCTTTCTGAATCTCAAGAGTTCAATAAAAACCGACTTGCTATCTTTCCTTGAAGCCTTATTAAATTTATTTAAAATTCTTAAACACTTTAAAAAGGATCTGAATTTATTTATTTTTTACTACCACCCCCCTGAAAGAATCTGAATTTAAATACACTTGGAAAACCTTTTTGAATTTGGTGTAAGGTGAGGATATAACTTAATTTTTACCTGTGTCGAGGTCAGTCATTTGTATGTCATTCCTTGAAAAAGAAAATGATTGGAAATGCTATTAGTTCATTTTCAACTGCCATACACCGGCCTACACCAGTCCCTCTTCTGTTGCCTTATTCCATTTGGTTTATTGTTTTTTTCAGCCTTAATAGCACACACTCATTTATTGTAGTTTTACAGCATGTTTCTGCCTTTGTTTCAAGATTTTCTTGGCCATTATTGTGCTCTTTTGGGCAGACTTTAGAATTCCATATACCACAGGGCACTGGGAGAATTATGTTGTCTATGTAAATTGCTTGGGTAACTTTTGACATCTGTGTTATATTGAGATTCCCAAATGACAGCTTTTTATTTGTTTACATTGTAGACTTCTCCTATAACATATTGCCTTTTTTTTTAAAGACTAGAGCTTAGATAAACTTTCCCCCTCCATATCACCATTACTCTCATTAGAATTTTCTAGACTTTTTAAAGCCAATTTTGAAAATATGTGCTTTTTTTCCTGGAAAAAATCATACATTTTATTAATCGGTATGCAGCAAAATGCTTCTCTTTCTCCCTTCTCTCTCTCCCTCTCTCTCCATCCTTTTCTTTCTTTGTCAGGGTCTCATGGAGCCCGGGCTGACCTCAAAATCCCTATTTATATAGCTGAGGACAGCCTTGACCCTCCTGCCTTCACTTCCAAAATGCTGGAATTACCCAACATGTGTGATCCTGAGGGTCACACCAAGGGCTTCCTGCAAACACCCTAGTAACTGATTTGCCCCCCCCCCCCACCAACCCAAATTCAGCATTTCCTTTTTTTTCTTTTTTGTTGATTTCTGGATTTATACTTACATATGGATCCTTCCCCCATTCTTAGCTTTGGGCTCTCTTTTATCAGGGTGACTTTAATTGGGAATAACAGGAAGTCATGGTTCAACTTGACTTAAACAATAAGGAAAACTATTATCTCCCTAACAAAAAGTCCAGAGACAACATGTCTCCTTGCATCAGGATTCTTAGTCCTTTCTTTCTACAATCCTCTGGGTACTGCCCTTGGGCTGGCAAGAAGACACAGCAATTCTAAATGTCATATCCTGGTATCTAGAAAGAAGGGTCTAATTACCTTTTTGATGTGTCCCTTGAGAGCAAGGCAAGTATTTTCAGAGGCCCCTGGCAACGCTCCTGTCAGTGTATTGATCAGGACAGACCATACCTAGAGCATGGATTACGAAGGAGACTAAGATGGCCATAGTATAACCTAGCTTAATCCTTTCAAGGTGGAATATGACTGTTGAGACTGAAACCCTTGACCACTATGTCTTTGCCCATCCTAGAATCCTCACTGAAGTTTGCCTGGTTTTTGTCTTGTAATAACTTTGGCTTATTAATCAAAGATCTTGCCTTTTGCTTTCTTTCAAGCATGCTATATTCTGCTTTATTTAGATTTATATTAGATTACTTATTTCTAAATTTCTTGTTTTCAAATATATGAATAAAAAAATGGTAACTTTTCCTCTACTGCTGTTTTGGCCATAGGCATTTGACTTTAATATGCCTGTCTGTTCTTGCAAAACAATTTATAATTTTAGCTTTATTTTCTTTTTTAAGATTGTGTGTGTGTGTGTGGTATTTTTGTCAACTTAACACAAGCCAGGGTCATCTGAGGAGAAGGAACTGAGAGAACTCTTCCATCAGTTGTTGGTAGGCATTTTCTTGATTAATGATTGTTACAGGAAGGCCCAGCACACTGTGGGCAGGACCACCCCTAGGTGGGTGGTCCTGGGCTGTATAAGGAAGGAAGCAGCTGAGCAGCTGAGCAAGGCATAGGGAGCTTGTAATAAACAGTATTCCTCCACGGCTGCTGCTTCAGTTCCTGACCTGACCTTTTTTTCACGTAAGTTGTAATAAATCCTTTCCTTCCTGAATTGCTTTTAGTCATGGCATTTTATCACAGCAATTGAAAGAAAACCAAGCTCCGTGTGTGTGTGTGTGTGTGTGTGTGTGTGTGTGTGTGTGTGTGTGTGTGTGTGTTTGAAGTTGAAGTTACAGGAGATTGTGAGTGGCCTTGAACTCAGGTCTGAAAAAGCAGCATGTATTCATAACAGCTTAACCATTTCTCCAGCCCCTTTACTTCCTTCTTAACCAAAGGTTTATTTGGAAGAGTTTGTTGTGTTTATGTTGAGCACCATCTTTTTTATTGTCTACTTTTATTACACAATGGCCAGCAAGCATGGCTTGTCTGATTTTCTGCATGAATATCTGTAAGTACATGTGTGAAGACAATGCTCTCCTTTGAAAAAGAAATTACTTTTTGCAGCCAGTGATGTGTGGCACACACCTTTAATCCCAGCACTCGGGAGGCAGAGGCAGGCAGATTTCTGTGAGTTCGAGACCAGCCTGGTCTACAAGAGCTAGTTCCAGGATAGCCTCCAAAGCCACAGAGAAACCATATTGAAAAAGGAAAAAAAAAAAAAAAAAAAAAAAAAAAGAAAAGAAAGAAAGAAATTACATTTTGCAATGCTCCCACTTAATTTGAATTGCATCATAGGACAGGCATATCACAAGACAGTTTTTGACTTCCCTCTTTCCCCATATCCCCATATGGAACTATCTTTAATTCTTTTAACTGTGTCTTCTGAGAATTTACTTCCATATTTCCAAACCATATATTATGTTGCTATCCCTTGTTTGTGTTTTCAGTATTAATCTCATCCATGTTATCTTGTTCCATTGTGTTTACTTGTGTCTCACTTTCCCATCAAATACTTTCATACAGCCTTCTCACAATTTGATGATCACTGTTCATTCTGGGGACATTTGTCTGATTATATTTCCTTCTTGAACAATCTTCTTCTCTTCCAGAGACAATCAAAGCTTTATTTTTGTAGTTTTCTTAGTTGAATGTATGTCCATTATTAGCTTTTTCCTAATACTGAAAAAGAAACACCAAAAAGCAACTTAATATTGTTTTCCATATGGTAAAATGCATGGAATATACTTTGTTGTTTCTTTTTCTTCAGCACAATGTCCCTTCTCAACACTAATTTGGATGTTTCATCTCCAGGGCTCTTGCTCAGCTGTGTTCCTGGGACTTCTCATCATTGGCCTTTTGCACTAAATCCCTTTTATTCCAAATCTTGTTTCCAATCTTGTTATATATTCTTGACTGGGCAGTATGTTTTCCAGGAGTATTGTAGAAAAGGGTGTATGGGGATACTGT